GGAGCTCCAGGGTGGAACTGAGGGCAGGACTTGGCTCTGGGCACCCACTACAAACCAGGTCAGGGCCACCAAAGGCAATTCTGCCCTTAATGCTTTAATCCACACCCTCAGCTAAAGGAACCAAAAGCCTTTAACTGTGTCACCGAGAAGGTCCTGCTCCTCCATTTGGGCGCAGGATCACGTGCCTGGAGCTCTGTCCACGTGCCAGGGAGTGTGAAAGCAGCACATTTGTCATCCCTGAAGTGTGGCCTGGGTGCCACTCACGCCGACCCACCGACCACACCGAGCTCAGCCAGATCCCCGAGCTGGGCTTGAAACGCTGCTTTGTTTTAACCACATATTTTTATTTCATGAAACAGAGCTAAGTATCCTGAAACTAAAGGAGTATTTTTTCATGCTGCTATAATTTGTGAAATAATGAGACATTTTGGTCTGTTAACTCCTCTTAAGTCTCACCACAATGTTATGCTTTGACTTCATTTGTGGTTGCAAAATATTTACTTTTCTCTTTAGCAGATTATATGAAGCTGTGTATTTTGTCTTGGGAGATATATACATATATTTATATATATTTAATCTTAGTAGAAGCTGTTAGTAAAGCTACTTTTGTGCTCTGATCTGTTTTTGGATCCTCTTTAAAAATATTTACCGGGATATTGTGGATTTATTTGCTGATGCCATCTTTTCTCAAAAAAAAAAAAAAACGAAAAAGAAAAAGAAAAAGTTAAGACACACTAATAGTGTGGGGTTTTTTCACTGTGCAGGTCATACACACACAAAAAAAGTCCTCACTTGCATGGGGAATATATTCCCCAAACAATTATTTAGTAATATTAACTTTCCCCCATTAGTGATTATTAATGGAAGGTGGTATTTCTAAAATGGCCAGAGGGAGTTAGAATCTTAAGCCTTCTAAAAAGTCAGAGTGAGTTTTTACTAGGACAAACTGCAGCATAAAGGAGGCAGTACCATCTACTTAGGATTTAAACAGCAGGACACCTGGGCTTACTTCCCTTCCTTTTCCATCAACAATCAATCATCAAAACCAGATCATCACTCATTTCCCAACTGAGCTGCTACCCAAGTAAAATCCGGGCAGCGAAGATCCAATCCCAAACCGAACAGCTGCAGTGTTCAGGACACTTCTGATCCCACATTTGAAGCACCTGTAGTTACACTGCTCCTTATGCAATATGGCTGTGAAGTAATGAACTATTTAATTTAATGTTTGTAAGAGGGGGTGATATTCTTTGTTAAAAACAAGCTGTGTGTCCAGTCATACTTCTCTCCCCCCACTCCTCCAGTGACAATTCAAATCCAACTTCCTCCATGTCTGGGAATGCCCCCTTACCCAGGTTTTTCATGGTATTTGGAGTCCATCTCAGCTCTACTACCTCTCTCTTCATGCCCTACCAGCTTAATGCTTTGATGTCTCCATCACTGCCATCATCTTGGGGACTTCTGCAGTTTCCCTACAGAATCCCTAAATTTCCACAGGCAGCTTTTCCCACATATATGGTGTTTTACCTGGTTATACTGAAATGCAGTTTAATGTTCTCACCACAGTGAGTGTTGCAGACTCCTGTCAGTGACCTAAATTGTTCCTGACTTGCCAGACTATATCTGACCTGCCATTCCTGTCACTTGGCTTACATCTTCTTTTTGCCTGATGTGGAACTCTGGACTTGAGAAAATTAGATTTTCAGAAGTCTTTAGGCACCTAAAGAAAGGCACTTTGTTGCACTAAAAAGGGGCTTAAAGAAATAAGGCACCTAATTCCTGTTGACTGGCAGTGGAAAAGTGCTTAAAATATTTAATGAGTCCTAGCAGTTTAATTAGCTGCTCCCAGGTGCTGTAAAGTCCCCAAGACCACTTTCGAAGATAACAACCTTTCCTTTTAATTTGTGCATTGTTTCCTATTGTGGAAGCAGGGAAAGGATGCAGAAATGAACATAAATTATATACATTATATATATATCTGTATTGGACAAGCAGGATAAAGAAGGTGTTTCTTGTACTTTCTGCTTGTGCTGTTTTTTAACCCCACTTCCAGCTGTATACAAGCTGCAACTGGCAATCTTCCTATTAAATATCTACATTAAGTAAAAGATTCCTCAAAAGATATTAAAGTAATTCAAACTGAGCCTAAAATTCACTCTTTTTTTGTTGATGTTGTTGCTTTATTTGGGTATTTTTTCCAGAACTTAGCAAGAACATAAATGCCTGACCTTTGTTTTCATTCTTATATGGATTTAAAGCAATCTGGGGAAGGCAGGGGGAAGAGGGAGGAGTGAAGGGGAGTTTCTAATTTTTCCACAAGACACATCTTGGAGAAAGATGAACTAATTTAGGAAACAACAGATGCATATGTTTTCCAAATGTCTCAGGGATTTTTGAGCTTGTGAAGAAAAAGGATGTGTTTTATTATTGTCTTTGATACCTCCTACTTTCTCCTGGTAGAATCCCAGGACTTCTGATCCTTAGGTTACACAGGAGCCACAGAAGCTGGATTGAATGAGACAGCCTGACACTGCTCTTGCACCTCTGGATGACACAATTCAGTTTTGCTGAGAAACCCCAGTCTGGGGATTCTAAACCAAACACTGAAATCTACACTAAAGAATTAGAACACAAGCACTGAGGTGATCCTGCAATAATCATTTATATTGTAATCAAACACTTTGGGATCTAGCCAGGGATGAAATCCTACATAGTAACATATAACCCCTGAAAACATGATACATGCCCAGAAAATTCTGGGCTAAGTGCAGTGAAACACTCCATACTCATCCTGCTTTTCAAAGAGCTTAGCCAAGGGTATCCTTTTTCCAGGGATAATTTTCTTGGATGCCATGAGGAAGAGCAGATGCCTATAAAACTTTTACCATGTGGTGCTTTGTCAGTGTACTCCAGAGGGCAGCATGGTAGTGCCAGTGAGATTGTCTACCAAGTCATACAAGATCCCTCTGAAATTTCTTGTTAAAAATAAACATTAAATTATTTACTAATATTTTCTACACGCCATCAAATATATGAAAGCAACATCTGAAGAAATGCAGTTCAGACTTCATAGGTAACGATAAAAAAGTGGTTTATAAGGAGATGAAGTTTAAATTAAAAATATCAGTCCTCCTCTGCAATATGTTAGTTTTATAAAAGGATTGCAAAATCTCAACCTAAATTCAAACAGAAAACAAAATTAAACCAGATTTCATCTTCTTTAAAAAATGTTTATTTTCTGATGATTTTCCCACTCAGCCTCAATTTTGGATGAGAAAAATGTTAATATATTAACTTAAAGTATAACATGTTCTGTATTAAGTGCTTTCTTCAAAGTCAAAGTTATATATGAAAGATTTTGTAATTTACAGTATCTAAGTAAGGGAAGAAAAAAATCAAACTTCTAAATACTTTAGAAAATGTTCACTGTGCTCTTGGTGCTTCTAGATATTGCAGCCTAAGAAATGACTTGTTTTGGTGATTTATGTGTAAGATGGATCTTAATGAAAATCACACCTCTTTACACAAAAAACCCCCAACAGTCTGCAAAGAGTTGATTACAATATTTGACTAGATTATATTATTGGACTGAAATGTATCCCCTTTATCATGGTCCTTAATCTGGCAAGTATCCAGTCCCTCATTAAAAGTACTCACACACAGACACACACACATATAAAAATATAAATATATATATACTAAGTATGCAGGTGCCAGAATGCTGAGCAACTGAAAATCAATTGCCACCATCACAGTAACATTAAAAAACTATTTCTCAAGAATATTATTATATAAAATTACGATAGGATCATATTCCAATTGTTTTAATAAAGTGGCTACAATATAGGGCATTGTTTAGTCAGGATTGGCCATAAAATGCTGAAATCAAGCCCCAACCTATATGTAGGAGAAGGTTTCTTATAAATAATGCCAGCAAGACGAATGAGAATCCCTTTATATTGCAACCATTAAAAAGCTTATGGAGTGTTGCTTTGCTTATTATGGATTTTATCAGGGTTTTGTTGAGTGAAGTAGCAATTAAACTAAATATGCTGTCCCAAAAACCATTTATTACTGCTCTGTCTGCACAGAGCAGACTATACAAGAGGCCATGGCTTGCATTTCAAAACATGATTTAGGCTTTCTCTTCAGTGGCTGTGAAGAACCTGGTATGGGTCTCTCACAAGCGACCTGATGAAGCCAAAAATCTACTGGGTCAAACTTTTAGAATTTTGAGTCCTATGCCACTTGTCTAACACAGCAGGTGCCTTTCCCAAATGGTTCCAAGGTCATTTATGGTGCCTTCAACAATCTAATACAGTGTTCCTAAAGTCAAAGGAAGCCCTGGAACAAGCCTTGCAGCCCACAGATATTTTCCATTCTGAGAGTTTTTTCTGGAGTAGTCTAGATGTGAGAAAACTTTCCAAGGAATTTTGGAGAAGTTACCTTTTCCTGAATAAGTTTTAAAAAATCAGGATCTTTGGAAGAAATATTTTGCAGAATCGCTTTTATACCAAGGCCTTTCCAGTCCTACACAATGCCAGGGTTGTACCAACACAGGACACTTGAAGAGGCTGTAACACTTTGGCCCACAGTCCCCTCCAAAAGAAGGAAGTACTTAAGGAAGGCTCAGTCTGAGAAGATCGGTAATTACAATCTGTAGACAATTAAGCTTAGAGGAAGGTTGGTTAAAGATAGTATCTTGCAAGAGAAAACACATTTTCTGCAGTTTGAAAAGACATAGATGCTATCACAATATATTTTTGACAGTTCATTAGCACTGTCTGCAAGCCCTGACCATGGACACGGGGATTTTGGGCTGAGTTTTGCTTCACTGTTTATCTGTGTCCTGCAGGCCAAGCAAAGCTGCTTTCATTTCCCTTTGTCCACTTACCTGCTATGAAAATAGATTTTAATAGCCCAACTCTTTTAATAAATGTTAATTTGTGCAACTCAAACTGCATGCAGCTTTTGCTACCTGTGTTCAAATGTGCACCAACCTGGGCAGATACAGCATTGCTTTTCCCTGTAGTAATCCATGTCTCATCCTTCCGTGGGAATCTACGATGATTACAGTGGACATCTAGACACAGAAAACATGACAGAGATATATTGTGATAAAAAGATATGGTAAATATGTATTTAACTGACCCCTTTAATTAAACTGCAATAAAAATATTCCATTACATAATAAAGTAACGGTGTGGATTGTCACAAAAGTGACCAGCAAGAATACTCTTATAGGTAAAATATTCCCTTCAGACTTGAGATCTGTATTCAGCTCCTCCCAGAAATATTTTCTGTTTCATAGAGAAAAACCCCACCTTTTCTATGCTGTATTTTTCCATGTGTAGAACTCACCCTTTGTCTGTCACACTAAACCAAGACAGAGACTGTGTAATTACACTTTTTGTAGAACCTTGTAGTAGCATTGGCTGATGGCAGCTGGGGCTACTGAGTGCTGTAAGTTAAAAAAAAAAAAAAAAGAAAATTCTTGGATTTGGTTTGATTTCACTGCCAGCACTTTAGGTCAGCCCCTAAGCTGCTTTAGTTTTTAATTAAAATACATGAATAATACCCTTTGAATACTTGCTTCTCTGTTGTTTCCAGCTACACGCTAATTTTCTTGTCCTCATTTACACAACATTTAATTTTCTGGTTGTTATCCGGAGAATTTCCACGGTATTTTTTGTTGTTGTTGCTGCTGTGGTTATGCTGGCTTTCTCCAAAAGACACTTGCTTCAATGGTAAATCAAAATCTTTGCCATCTTACTCACTCCCCATGATTTCCATAGGGTAAGAGCATCAGTCATTGGCCTGTAATTATCTTTAATTCACCGGTACTTTCCTTGGACCAGCTGCATGAGGGACTGAATTTGGTGCAATGAAAAGACTGCAGCAGATTCTCACAGCAGCAGAAGAGTGAAGCTACACAGTCTAACACATAACTGCATGTGCACCACTCAGCCACAATACAATTAAGGCTCTGGCTCCAAAGAAATTGTGATCCAAGGCTTTCTGCAAGCTTTAAACAAGGGCTTCGATGCTCACTGTTGTGTTGTCTGTGTTGCCAACTCTCTCAGTTCCTACCAAGAATCTTACAATGATATCTGCCGAAAATCTCATTTCTGAAAGTCATAAATCTGCATGAGAACCTCCAGATTCATTTTGGGGGAAAAAATAGAGTTTCTGTCATTGCAAAGAAAAAGACTGGAAAACATGACACAGATGTTTCCTTAAGGCTCAGTAAACAGAAAGCAAATTAAAAAATACCTTTTTAAAAAGTTCTTTGATTTACAGATCAATCTTTTAAAACTTGAAGGCCAGCCTGCTGATGTTTTAGTACTTCAGGTTGACAGAACAATCAGTGAGACTATTCACAGAGTATAAAGATAAAAATGTGCAAAAGATCTTTGTCAGATCTGGGCCTACAGCCAACCTCTCACTCCCCAAGAGCATGTCATATGGCACTACTTCTAAATTTGGCTCAAATTTGTTTTGGTGAGTGCAAAATTTGTCTAGATCCAAAGCTAGTTCTGCATCTACCATTTAAAGCTTTTCCATCACATGCAGAAAAAAAGAAGCTTTTAAGTGAAAGTAAAACAACATTGGGCAGGGACCCAGAGCCTGATACCTGAGCTATAAACTACCACTGATCACAGTATTGAGTAAATTCACTAAAAATATCTTCCTCAGCTTCCCTGCCTAATGCCAGATAGACTCCACAGCCTCCCAGCTCTTCTTGCCTGGACTACAATTTGCCCCCATAAAGCCCCAGGGAATCAAGATAAAAGCAATGGCAGAAAGTGAATGGGATAATTTCCTTCCTCTCCAACATTTTCCATGTAATGTTGGCTGCTAAATCTGCAAAGTAACAGTCAGCAAAGGAAATCTTTGACAATGACTGCATGTCTCACATTGCAGCCCCTTCCTCCCCCTTTTTAGCTGTTTATGCTAAATCACTTTTTATTTGCCACATGGAAAAAGCCAGTGCCCAAGATGACGATACACTGAATGCAGCATCTCCCTTAACCCTTTCCAAACTCCAGAAAACTCAGGGAAAAAAGGTGGAGTTCACTCATCTCTCAACAACAGCACAAAATATAAAAACCAAAAGAAAATATCTATCAAAGCAGAAAAGGGTACTTTCCCTTGATCTGCTGATACACACAGAATATCACACGAATAACACCCGTCTTCTGTCCCTCCCTGAGTGATTCCTTCCTCTGTGAATGTCTTTTGCTCTGAACAAGGGGGAAAATGACAACAAAATAAACAGCAACATGGCAGTAAAATATAACCCAGGTCTCAAAAGAGCTCCTGGACGTGTGACTGGACCAGCACTTTAGCATTAAAGCCCTCAGGAATTTTCTGACCATTGGATCAGTGAGATGGCAAGGAAACGGCCCTCCTCTTCAGCATGATGGCTGAGGGAGATGAAGCAGAAGAGTTTATAATCAAACCTATATATAACCTATATATATCAAACCTGAAGAGTGGGGATTTCTGTCCCATCTCACCTTAGCTCAGCACTGAGGGAAATCTACTGTCACCTGAGGGAAAGCATCTCTCATGACACCTCAGGAAAAGCTTCTCTCCTGCCACCTGAGGGAAAAATGTTGTCACCCGAGGGAAAAAACTGCTGTCATCTGAAGGAAAACTTCTGTCACCTGAGGGAAGACTCCTGTCCTGCCACCTGAGGGAAAACTACTCTCCTGTCACCCAAGGGAAAAATCCTCTCCTCTCATCTGAGGCAAAAATACTGCCGCCTGAGGGAGAGCTTCTCTCCTGTCAGGAGGAAAACCCCTCTCCTGCTCACCTGAGGGAAAGCTTCTCTCTCGACACCTCAGGGAAAGCTTCTCTCATCTGAGGGAAAGTTTCTCTCCTGCTAAAGGTTAGTGGTGACAGAGCCAGATTTCAGACACTGCTACACTCTTTCCCCACAGCTCCACAGTCCCTGGGGCTGGAGGGTGGCAGTGGGACGGGATCCACTGCGGAGCTGTTTTGGTTTTTGGGTGTTGGTGGAAGGTTTGGCGGAGGCCGAGCTGTGTGGGCAGGTGAGCCGGGGGCTCCTGAGGCCTCACGGGCAGTCGTTCAGCCCCCACAAAACCTCTGCTTGAATTTCAAGATGCAGTTTTGAACTTCAGCCACGTGATGGCCACGTTTAAAAATTTAGGTTTGGACAATGCCAGTGCTGTAGTCTCGGAGATAACGAGCCCAAAATTTACGTGGTCGGAACATCCTCTAGACGACCCCACACGGGAGTATGTTTGCGCACGTGGCCATTTTGATTGTGTAAATATTTACTTCAATACCTCTATGAAACAAATATATAACATAACGTGGGGGAGAGGCAAATGTTTTACAGTTGAAGTGGTATTTCAAATTTAATGCTCTGGTCCCGTGGCCCAGGATGTGGTGGCTCTTTGGCACCTTGGATCCTGGGCCTCGGTCACACTGCAGCTGGGATGTGACTGCCCAGAGGCTTGGAATACACGTAGCACTGCCTGTTTATGTTTGTACACAGCATAATAACATAAAGATAGAAATATTAATATTATAGAAATATAATAATGTAAATATTGTTTCACACAATCTGTGAAAGAACTAGCTGCGGTTTGAGACAGTGCCCAGCCAATCCCTCCCCTGATTTCAATACTGAAAGAGAACACATGATAGTACATTCTGAGATTTGCTAAGTTTCAGATTTATAAAGAAATGTGGAAACCTAATGGTGCTTTCAAACTGAAAAAGGTAAGACGCTTCATGTGGAAAGTGGGTGCAAAATTGGCATTCTGATATTTTTCAGATTTAATTTCTTCCTAAAAAAAAATTAGATAAGTCAAAATGATTTTTTTTTTCTGTTGTAAATTTGTGTTTTGAGCCTTTGATTGAACTCTAAGCCATTTTGGCTGAGATCATGGTCTGAGCCTTTCACCTGAGAAATGCAAACCTGCTTTTGACCTTTTATTTATTTTGAAAGTATTAACCTTCAAATGATTCAAGGATATAATCCTAATGGATGCAATATCCTCTTGCAATTTTCTTCTGACATGGCACATTCAAAAGTTGTGGGACTGGCTGTCATTGCTTGTACTAAAATTTTTTTGCTCCTACCATAACCTCAGGATTACAAGGGCTCATTGGCAGGATAATGGGAGTGTTACTTCAAACAGCATGGTTCCTTTTAATTGTCTTGAGAGAATCTGACCATTTTATAAAAGGAAAACAAATAAGCTTATTGTTGCCAAAGGATCTTGGGGGAAAAAAAGAAAAGAGGCTGCAATAGTACTAAATAAAATAAAAATGGTATATGTTCCTATTGAAATTTGATAAAATCTGCAGAATTTAAAAAACCATGCTTCTTTGGATTACTTTAAAGATTCTTGGTTATATTTTTAGACATTAGACTGTTTGTTTCAAACTTAATTTAAAAAAAGGGCATGTTTAATATATTTGCATCATGAAATAGTTTATCAAAGACTTTGGGACAGTCTCATGAAAATTCACCAGGATGTACAAAATGAAAGGCTTGAAGGAAAACTATGAGTTAATTCATGCTGTTTCATAAGTTTGGGTTTGGAACTCTCTTTTATTGAAGGCTGGTTCATTTGGCTGACTGTTTTTCTGTTCAACTGCATGTGTATATGAACTGATGGACAAGAAGAATATTTATTGTTCATTCCTTATTTTGAATCTGCTTGAAACTTTGATGGATAAAATCTAAAATGACCTGTCTTCACTTTGCCTACCATGGGTTCTAGTAGTTGCTCATATGTAATAATGAAGAAAAAAAATCATGCCGCAATTATTACTAACCTTTACTTTCTTCTTTCACTCATATTTGCCTTTCCTCATTTTCCAGTGTGACTGTGGCATTGAGACAGAGCTGGTTCCAACCTCTGGTACTTATTTTTGGTTCATTAATTTTTGGCAAACAAGGGACACTTAATAGGTCTGACGTTCCTGGCTAGGTGGTGATTGATCAAAAGTCAGCACAGTCAATGTTGTTATTTTTTCCAAACTTGTAATAATGTTATTCCCTAAGAGCCCACAAAAACAAAGCAATTAGGCTGGCTTGATAGGAGTGATGGTGGCTAACCTGGCATCAGAAGTGAAGACAGCAGCTTTCTGGATTACCTTTCCCCTATCTTAAGTCTGCTGCAGTCCAATTTATAAAATGAGAAGGTAATGAGTGTTGTATTTAAAGTACATTATCTGCATTATGCCAACTGTGCTCTTCAGGAATGTGACATTGTGAAATGAGATTTCCACACACCTACAGGAATGAGCAGACACTGTATTTATTAGCCTAGTAAAAATACAATCTTATATCAATAACACCCAGGCTCTCCCTCCATTTCTTCCTGTTTGTGTTGTGTGTCTGTGTCAGCCTTGTTCTGAGCCACTGTTGCCAGGTGTACTCGCCAGAGGCTGCTCAATTGGAGCTGTGAATACCAGCCAAAAATAGCCAGCCCTGAGCAGAAGCCCCAGCCCTCAGAAAGTGCCTGCAGAAGGTACACACAGCTATTGGCTGCTGGGGCTTGAACTTCTCCACTGGAGATGTGGTTGTGACTGGCAGGGGCTGTGGAGCTGTGTCAGCTCTCTGGGCAGGCTGGTTACTGAGGATCTGGGTGGTAACTTCAAATATTCAGGTTCTAATCCAGCCTTTAGCTGTGGAGTACTGGGTACTTTTACTCAGCCAGTACCTTTCTTGTGACTTGATTTCCCCGTCTCTGAAGCAGAAGGGTGCTGCTCATGAAATGGAAAGATTGGATATTCCAAGAAAAAGCCATTATTGCTATTATTGATAGGGAAAATATCCCACTTGGATTGATCTGGGATTTCATGATGTCGGTAATACACTTCTGAATAAGGTGGTGCTGCAGGTGTTCAGTGGATGATGTTCACCTTTGCACAAATTAGGTTTATGTGGGACTGTTGAAATTGTTTATATAAATGTGCTTTGTATACATTTCAGTAACTCCCTTTTGAATCTCTGAAAGAATCTCTGTGGGTGTTGATCAGACCCAGAATACCGGACAGCTGCCAAAACTCTGGCAGAACTTTTTCCTTCATTTGGACGTGTATGGCAACTTAGAAAATTGAGAATGTCCATTTTGGCTTTACCTCAGCAGGTTTAGTGTCCCCCTAATTCTGATAACTCTGTTTTGAGAAAATGAGGTTTTGAGTGAACCCCTAGAAGCTGTGCTTCCAGGGTTAATGGAAACAATCAGTGGGTCTGGTACCCAGTGAAGCAGCTCTGGACTGCCTGCTGCAGCTGGTAGACTTCCAGGAGGGGTCAGAAAAGGGAAAACTCAACTTTGGTTAGGAATACAGTTGGATAACAAGGCATGGCAGCCTGAATTCTCTGTCAGAGTCTTCCTATATAATGACAGACACAGCAGGACATGGCTTTCTTTGGATGGCAATGTCTGACTCATTCTCCTCTGAGCCTTAGTAAAGCTGAACTGTTGGTGCTTCAGAGAACCAGGGAGCTGAAAGATCTCTGCTGAAGTCTGAGCTTGAAAGGAGTGAAAGACTGTTTATGCGTTATTTGAACTTCAGGAAGGAATGAAAAAAATGTTATCTAACTGTATTGCTGAGTCATCTGAGCCTGGAAAGTGTTAGGAGCTGCTTAGGTCAGCTGAAAGATTGAGGAGGAAAACACTGACTCAAGTATTTTCTCGTGTCACCAGAGGGTCCCTGCTGCAGTTTGGGCTCAGATTTAGAAGTGGAAATCTGAAAGGGAACATTATAAACAGCAGCTGATTTTAAAATAGCCTCATTCCTTTGCTTCTGACAATTGCATAAAGTTGTAGGAAATCCTGCAATAGCTGTCCCTGCTAATTTTTCAACAAGCAATATTCACATCTCAGTTATTTTCTAGCCTAGTTACATTACTTGGTGCTTGTTTAAGAAAACCCTGGTTGTACGTTCTTTCCTTAGGTTGGCTTCATCTCAAGCACAAGTTTCAGATGCACCTAAGATTATTTAGAAGCCTGATCTGACTGAATCACTCCTGAAATTTAGACCTGCCATTCATGAAAGTTTTATCTGTGGGCTATTGCTAAAATGAATCAGGATATAATATTTTTCGTCTTCTTTGGCTGAAGGTCTCAAGAACCTTGTAAACTTCTAAATTAATAATTTCATTCTATCTAAGTGTAAAAATACTTATTGACTGTCCCCCCATATGATGACATCAGTGTGGCTCCCCCTTGGTTACAGGAACATCTCAGGAATTTTCTGACCAAGAGAGTGTGTTGATGGAAAAGGCTTCAACTGGGGCTCTCAAGGCTTCATGTATTGCACTTTCTGCTGTTATTCCTGTGAGCTCTATTGACCAAGACCTTTATTTTGGGCCTTGAGCACAGTTTGGTGTGAGCCTTAAAACCTTGCTTCTTTCTCCATTATAAAAGCGTCTCCTCAGTCTCCTCTTTGTTTTTTGCTTTCCACCTGAAATAGAAGAGAGACTTCACTCCTCTGCTCCTTCCAGCTACACCTGCTGCATCTCCAGCAGGGCAAGGTCTGTTAACAGTTGTAAATAGCTCTACTGTGAGAGACTTTACTTAAGTTGTGAAATGGTTTGTCTTCTACCAGTTCTTTGCGTGAGGCAAAAGAAATAAAGATTTACAGCAAAATAGGGAATTTTTGGAGTGCATTGGAAGATCTTTCATTCAAACTATGGGGTGCAATGAAATTTCCACGGGATTCCCCTCCCCTCCCTTTTCCTTCAGTTTATCATCTATCCAGGGGACGAGAACAGCCCCTCACTGGCTGGACTTGTCCGTAGAGGGTCAATCTTAAACCCTTGTGACTGTGATTATTTTGTCTCCTTGCTGTCCAGCACTGCCATGTGAATGAGGTCATGGTGTTAAGGGATTGTAGGCTGGCTCTTCACTTTATGTCCTAAAGGATCTCTGGGATCTGAGCCCTGTATTGGGGGACTATTAGGCAGAAATCTTTCCTTTAGATCTTAATGACATTGTTGGAATTATATCCTTACATGCTTTTGTCTTTAAGTGATTATTTCTTCCCAATAATACAAACACTTTGAATGTCAAGATTCTAATACTGATTCTGCAAGGAGAGTGGGGGACAGAAATCAAATTGTTGATTTCAATTCAAAAAGGTAATGCCCTCTTATAAAAGTTGTGTTGTCTCAGATCCCAATGTGGAAAAATGAATCAAGGCACTTAAACTTTTCTTCTGCCACTGTGTTTAACATTTCTTTCTTTTTTCTC